TACCGAGGGCGGCCGGCGGTGCCTCCGCCTTCGTGGGCCGCGGTACCGAGAGGGCGGTGACGCCGCGCTAGAGCTGCCGCGCGGGTTTTGGCCAGCGGAGCCAGCGAGGGGGCTCTGCCCTGGTGAGACCTCACCTGGATAGCGCTCCAGCTCGGCAGCCCCCAGCACAAGAAGGACGTGGAGCTGTTGGAGCGTGTCCAGAGGAGGGCCACGACAAGGATGAGAGGGCTGGAGCAGCTCTGCTGTGAGGACAGGCTGAGGGAGCTGGGGCTGTTCAGCCCAGCGGAGGTTCTGGAGGGGCCTTACAGTGACTTACTAGTACCTGAAGAGGGCCCATAAAAAGGCAGGGGCAGGTCTGTTCACAAGGGGTTGTAGTGACAGGACAAGGGTAATGGTTTTAAGCTAGAAAAGGGCAGGTTTAGGTTAGACATTAGGAAAACATTCTTTAATAGGAGGGTGATTGATCACTGCAACAGGTTGCCCAGAGAGGTGGTGGAGGCCCCATCCCTGGAGACATTCAAGGTCAGGCCTGAGCAACCTGACCTAGTTACAGATGTCTGCGCTTATTGTTAAGGGCATTGGGCTGGGTTGCCTGTAGAGGTCCCTTCCAACCCAATCCTTGCTGTGAGGATTTACCTCATTGCAGGTGCCTGTGCCCACGTGAGGGGACTGGCAGGCCTCAGCCCCTGCACAGCAGCACATCCAGGGGCTGCAAGGGAGGAGATGGGTCCTGAGGTGGTCGAGAAGAAACGTGGCTCACATTGCTTATTACAGAGCAGCCTTCTCTGCCTGGAGACTTTCCCTGGCAGTTCTTTGAGGTCAGAAGAGAAATGGCCTCAACAGCAACCACGCCGAGTGCTTTTTCAATCCTCATGCTGTCTGCAGAAATTGTACCCTTAGAAAAGGAGCATTTTACTACTTGGGCTTGTTTAAGAACAGCACAGCATGTGGCTGGCTTGCTGCCAACACTTGAGCAGGCTGGAGTGCTGAAGAACACCTTGGCATTAACAAGCGTGTCATGGTTTAGGGTCAGGGCTGCCCCCAGACCTGTAACAGATGCTCTCTGTTAACCTGTTTCCCCCCTCAAAGGAGAAGAGAAAGGGAATAAGGAAGAGAGAGACTTATAGGTTAGAAAAGTAAAAGAGTTTTAATGAAGTAATTCTAATAATAAAATGGAACATATACAAATATAGACAAAACCAGTAGCAAGCCCAACTCCCCCCTGATGGCAACACATCACCATCATCCCTGATGCTGTGGGGCAGGCCCCAGGGAAGAGCCCCAGACTGGGCTCAGCAGCAGACAGCAACTGGGTTCAGGAGCTGGATTCAGCAGATCAGGATCAAAGGCAGAATGGACAGAGTCCTCCTCAGACACTGGCCACTTAAGGCGAAACAAAAGAAAGCACCGGCCACTGAAGAAGAAACAAAAGAGAGCTGCACCCTCATGGTCCTTCATCTTTTATACTGAACATGACAGATAGGGGATGGAATGCCCCACTGGTGAATTTAGGGTCACCTGTCTGCTCCTCTCTGCAGATGCAGCCTTTACTTCTGCCCCCCTCAGCGTGGTCCAACAGGATTCAGCAGGGACCTGGGTCTGCACTCCAATCCTTGGTGGTGACTCTAACATGGAGCATTACCACTGCTAGAAGCAGCCACTGTCTGTGGAAATCTGAAATTCACCCAGTGCAGTGAGTTGGAAGAGCTTTGGCTGAGAAGTAAAATCACTGAACAGATTAGTTCAGTTCTACCCCAAACTAGACCACAAGTGTCAACCACAGTGAGTGCCACAGAAAGCAGAGGATTCCATAGAGGTCTAAGAATTTTTCAACTTGCTGCCATTAAAACAGGTGGATCTGTTTCCTCTCTTCTCTGCTGCTGGTATAGGTTATAGGTTTTAGGTTTTGTACATGTTGAGTGTATATATATATGTGTGTGTACATAATCTTTTTGATATGGTGGGTTTTAGCTAGTGATCAACTTTTTAGTCATGCTTTTTTCCCCCATTCTGTCTAAAAAAAAATTATTATTGAAGAGGTCATTCTTATACTGAGAACAAAATCCAGGAAGTTGAAAAAAAAAAAAAAAACAACACAAATAACCCCTTTAAACAAACCCTCCAATATATACACCAACACCAAATTACACTCCTGTACTATTTAGGCTCTAAAAATGACTATTTTCTGTAATTTTTGTGTTTATTTTCAGTGGAATGACAGCAGCAGGATTTGCTACTGACAGCAAGGAAGTAAGTCCATGAGAGACTGAAGAGTAAGATGCAAAAATAGTACACCCAGCACCCCAAACTTCTAACTGGGATTAGTTTAGTGCCTTTCATAAAGCTTATATGGATGAGACACATCTGAGTGGGCATCCTCCCTTGCCCTCTCCACCCTCAACACTTCCCCTATCCCCATCTTTTGAGCAAGTTCAATATAGACATCAGACTTCAGAAACTCATTGGAAAATGAGGCTGGATAGACTTAAAAAATAAAATTCATTCTCCTCATCAGTTTACTTCTTACATGTTTATCATGACTGGAGAGGCTGAGTGGCACAAGCATGAAAACAATCAGTACTTCTGCCTTAAAGAACACTTTAATTAATGAAGGATTATATTTGACTGCATGGGTAAGACAGTCAACAACCCAAACAAAGGTAGGAATTAAACAGAAACAGATCTATATTGACAGAAGGCTTCCAACACAATGACTGAGGCAGCAAGAGGAGAAGTGTGTGATGTGCCACTGGTCACCTTTTGTAGCTTTCTGAAAAAGGTCTTGGAATAGATCATTTATTTATGAGATAATCCTCTAGTACTAGTAACATGCAGGCAAAGAAAAAAAAATAAAACCACATTCTCTGTTTGGTGTGCTCCTCGTGCTCTCAGGAGAACTTCAGGTTTTGTAATACCAGAAGATACTGAAGTATTTTGTTAAAAATGTCAACCAGACCCAACAGACCATCAATGAGGTTCAAAATAAAGGACACATTTAAAACATCTGCTAACTTGGGGGATCAGCACACACACACTTGAGCAATGTAGGTTCTGCTTTACTCTCTTTCAAACGTATGTACAGTGGAAAAGTATCTCAATTACAAGCAAAGAAAGGTGAAAAGATGGTTTCATAATAAAACCAAATAAAACAATCTAGCAAGAATAATCTGCTGACTAGCAGCTGGTCAGTTCTGCACCAGCCTCAACTTCCTACAGGCTTCAGTTCCTTCACATGTCTAAATTATAACTCTTTTGAATTATCTTAGTTTTAATCCCAACTGGAAGACAGTATTTGGTAATATCTCATAAAATGGCAGGGCACAGCTACAGCCAAGCCTGGTAGTTATATGAATCTTTAATTATAGTTGTGTCATTACTGACAACTCCCATTTTCAGTTGCTTTCCCCCTCCTCTTGGTTTAACTTTCTCCATTATAATGGTCTTCTGCCTATTTTTTTAATATTACATGTTGTTAATCATACTCAAACCCGTTTGAGTATGAAAATTGAAGAGCAGTAAATATAGATAATCTCATCCAGGAATAAAGTTGCAGAACACTAGCAGTAAGAAAACAAAAGCATCTTCTTCCCAACAACAGTATGAAAACTGAAGAGCAGTAAATATAGATATCATCCAGGAATAAAGTTGCAGAACACTAGCAGTAAGAAAACAAAAGCATCTGCAGAAGTAACCTCTATGAACAGAGGTAAATACAAACCCACAGCCACTTAGCACTGTTGGCATCTGTGCCACCTTTGGCAGAGAGAATGACCTGTTTTTTCCCCATCTTTGGCTAAGAAGGGGTTAGCAGTACATGAGAGGGAGAAGGAAAGATTGCATTTGCAAGACTGACTGGTTGTACTCTTGTAGCTGTTGCACAAACAAGCAGCAGCCTCGATGCCAGTAACATGCTTCCATTGAACAGGACAGGGGTTCTGCTTCAACCTCACAGTTGGCACACAGCTGGAAATACAGAATCTTCTTTTTTTTTTTTGACTTGTTTCCTCTCTTTCCATAACAGGCTCCCAATTCCAAGCATCAGTTATTTTTGGTTGTAAGCACTAAACAGTATTCACACTCAAAATGATGTAAATGCAAGTGCTAGAAACTCAGCTGCAGTCGAGAACAGACCAATGAAATGTTTCTGAAGTCCAGGGGCACACATTTTTAAAACTTGTCAGAATACACAACGCCGTGTAAGCCCAAAGTGATCCCCCCCCCCAAAACCAATGACTTTAAAACTGAAAGCTTTGCCTAACAGGGGAGAAAGCAGCAGCACAGTTTTAATTCTCACTCCACCGTGGCCGTGGTGCTGTTGATCTACTCCGCAACGGAGCCTTTAAACATCTGTAGGATCGTCTTTTGGGGGTTCTTAGGTAGTGAACAGATATCATTTGCCTCACTGGTATTAACCACACAATTCAGAACTTTTCCTCCCTTGATGCTGGGGGATTTCATTCGGACTCTGGTAGAGGACTGCCAGTTTTCATTGCAAGACCCTCTCCGAGACTTGCGGTGGTTTGCCTCAGGCTGCTTTTTTTGGACCTTCGAGTCTTTTGGCACCTTAGGAACCCCCTTTCTAGCAGGAGAGTCTTTCACAGACTGAGGTGGTTTTCTGCGAAGAAGGTACTCGTCTGGAGAGCCCTTCTGTCGATTAAGTGTCCTTTCCTCCTTGTTGAGCTGTTTCTGTAGCTGCAGAGCCAGAAGCCTGTCCTGCTCCTCTTGCATACGCCTTTCATAGAACTCCTGCTCAAAGGCCTCCTGCATCTGCAACTTAAAATCTAAACTTTCTGGAAAAGTTTTTCTTCTCTTATCCAGCATGCACAAGTCAACCATTGCTTCAGTTAGTGGCTCCAGTGACTTTCTTTTTGGAGTCTCCTTAGTGTTCTGCAGTGTCTCTGGCTTCTCTTCATCTGAGTGTCGACCCACCTTCACCAGATCACTTTTGCTGTCAGATGTCACAGAATTTATCATTGACTGAATACAGGTAGAAGTTTCAGCAGAGTTTTCAAGGTTTATGCTTTCTACATGTGTTAAACTGCCACTGTTTGAATCAGTTCCTTCTTCTCCCTTGGATCTATGAAGGGCTGCACTAGACCCCTGCTTTTCTGTGATTCCATCAAGTGCATCTGGAACTTCCTCTCCCAGACAATTTGATCCTGGTGTTTTTTCCTGCTTGTCAGTGGCAGTTTCCCCTGAAGCAGAGGCACTGAAATAGTTCATGCACGATTCCAAAAACGAGTCCTTAGCACTGGAATCTTTAATCACACTGGTCAGCTGTGGAGACAACGTGGGCATTTCTTCTGGTTCATCTTGCCATGCAGCACTGCTGCCTTCATTGCTTTCCTACAGAAAACAGAGAGACCACTAATCAAGTAGATGTATCAAAAGCCAAGGGGTGCCAATAAAATGCAAAGAGCTGCACTGCTCATAACTACTCTGGGATATTAACTTTGATTTTTGTCATTCAAAAAAAAAATCCATAACTGTTTAATCATAATGACAATATTTAGAACCACCTACAGAAGCCTAGCTAAAGGACTGAAAACACAACTGCAGCATTCTCCTCTTATCAATAATTCAAATGAACTGTTCCAAGTCTGCTCATCATCTTTTGAAGCCTAACAGGAAAAATAAGACAGACAGACATAAGGAATGATGGAAAAATCATGGAGTGAGCTCCAGAACCATCATTTCAGTTTTATACAGCATCAGTTGCAACCCAGAGCTTGCTGAAGACATTCAAGTCAGGCATTTGTAAGGTTATCCAAGGTAACTATCAAAGTAAGCCACAGATGTGCATCTGTGGACTCTCAAGCATGGTCTCTTCCCTTTCCACTTTGAGGAACCATGAATACTGAAGGCAGTTCAAAAAAGGGCAAGATAAACAGCTCTGTGCTGGTGTGCAAGGGGTATATATATGACTGACAATCCTATAGGCAAGGAGAAAATAACCCATAATTGCTAACACTGAGATTTATAACAAAATGATTCCAGTTACCACAGAGCCAGAGTCACTCCTGCCTCTTTCTGTTTTTCTAGAGAATGATGCTGATCCCAACGTAGGATGAAGCTTTGGAGACAGATACCTTAAAAGGGGAAAAAAAAAAATATACCTTTTAAAATCTCTCTTCTTGAATTGTTAGTCCTTTCCATTAATCAAGGTCTTCAGGTTCATTCCAACAAAAAAACCCCAACAAACAACAAAACCAAGAGAGGGGCAAGTGTTTCCCTTCTCCTCCAAGCTGTTTTAACATTCAACAGTTTATATTTGCCCCAGATGATGCAGGTAAGTTGGACTACAGGATTTCAAGGAAGCACATGGATCAGACAGACACTACACCAAGAAACAGACCAATAACTAAAGAAGAAAAACTTGAATTACGTACTTCTGAATGTCTCCAATATTGCTTGATTTGTTCCTCATCTTGCACAAATTAGCTGGGGATGTTTCAGAGGAGAGACTGCCTGCTGGTGAAGGACTCCTGAGCACGTGTCCTTTAGAATCATCATTCTTCAATGACAGGTAAAAATAGCATTATATTATATAAAACAAAGCACAACACAAACTAGAGAAAATGCAGTGAAGTACTTTTTTTTTTTTTCCTGCTGTATAATTATTTACTTAAGTCCAAAGAATATTAGAACTTTAAGTAATGGATAGTTATGGAGTAAGATATTTTACATGTTCTGTACTCTTTCCTGTATCTGGTATTAAGAAACAAGAAGTTTTGCTCAAATGGTACACAGGTTTCACCATTAGGATTATTACTGGACAACAAAAAATCAACTAAACAGAACTCCAAAACAAATTAACAAAAAAAAACCAGCAAAACCAAATATAAGGTAAACTTTCATCATACATTCCTTTTTTCAGTACCAGTTACAGATAACTTCTTCCAAAGAAGTATTTTTAAAATCATGGGGAAAAGGAAGCATTGAGAAGAAACTGAGCATTGAGACAACACCTTCCAACTACAATCAAAATAAATTCAGATTATTCCCAATTTTAACTTTTGCTCGGAGAAGTCCGAGTTCCTTGCACCATATCAACATTTTCTACTGTCCCCTTTGACCCTAGCTCACCAGACTGTTACTCAGCTGCCAGGCCAACTCTTCATCTTGCTTCAGTTGTTTCTCCATCTCCCTCTGTCTCTCCTCTGCCAGCCTGCGTTCCTCCTCCTCTTCTGCTAGCAGCTGTTGAATGTACTCCTCACTTGCCTTGTTCTCCTCTTGCTCATGGGCTCGCCTTTCTGCCTCCACCTAAAACAGGTATTTGTTTTTTAACACACCTGGTTACTACTTGTATCAGGTCTGGCTGAGCTGATTTTCCCACTGCAGCCCTCCTGGTGCCTCTGGGGGGGGAGTCAGAACAGTTGATAACACCCATGTTGTGACTAACACCGCGCAGTGCCCGCACAGCACCAAGGCTCCTTCTGACATCTCCCCCTCAGTGGGATAAGGGGGGGCAGGAGCTTGAGGGGAACATAACCAGGTAACACAAGGAGTGAGCAAATAAAGAAAATGCTCTGTGTTCATTACTGAATCTCATCTAATTGTGTTCTGTTACTTAAGGAGGGAAGGCAAGAAGGCAAGCACAAGATGAAAGCCCAAACAGGTCCAAAGTTTTGCATTTGCTAGTCTGAAACACTGTGTGTGCATCTGAGGATCTACAAAAGCCATTCTGGTGTGTGTGGGCAGGGATGCAGACAGTGGAAGGTGACACTAACCCTGAAAGAACTCTTCTGCTGTTTTGGGACATAGGAGGTAGTGAGGAATGGAGACCTGCCTGGGCATTCTGCATTGACACCAAGACAGCACAGCTTACTGGGCCAACAGAGTGAGGTAGGAGGTGCAGATCAACAAGAAGACTTGAGAAATCTTGTCTCATATCAAGCACAAGGAGGCCTCTCCTCTTCCATAAAAGATACAAAACCTAACCCATGCTTCAAGAATGACAAGTGTGTTCTTGCAGCAGCAATGCCTTTTTAAGTATCTTTCTTTTTCATTAAATACTATTACAGCTCTTTGTAGGAACAATTAGAATAAATAAACACAAAGCACTTGCACTATTAACTATGTTTTTAGAGTTACCTTGCTAATCTCTGCTTCATATTCCTGCCTCAGTTCCCCAGGCTTGCTTAGCTGGTGTTGTGGATGGGGGACATAAACTAATGGAAAGGAAGAAAAGAAGAAAAAAAAGTGAGAAACAAAACAAGATCATTACAGCCAACAACAAAAGATTTTTAAAAGTATCATTTCCATACCCTGTCACAGGAATTATTTGACTTAAGTGCTGAGGAAAAAAAAGACACTTTGTGTTACAAAGGAACAAAAAAAAGCACTGTGTTGCAGAGAGGCAAGGACAGCTGGCACTTCCCAAGCACAGTATATATAGAAAATAAGCATGCTGACCATAATTTATGCTTTTTGTGACTAAAAAGACTTCATAATACTGCAAATAAACATGTCACAGAATCAGCCTACCAATTAGGCTCCCCCAAAGGAGCTTACAACATAATAAACCCCCAAATCCTTCTGAATTAATCAGATTTCATTTCTTTTTCTCCAAAACCACAATTTTAGGCTCAGAGACTCCTGCATAGATTGAAACCCTGGAATTTCTCACCCAACTAATTGACAGCATATGAGAGCTGGAAAAAAAAATTAATCACTTCAGTTGCTTGCTAGTGCTAAACACACACATGCAAATACTCCAGCTACAGATTTTACAGCTGAAGTTGTACCAGTAATGAACTGCTGCCTTTGCAAGGACAGGCAGGCATACACCAATTCTGTGTGCCAAATCCACACACCCCCACTTAAACAATCAGACCTGTTCTCTGCCTTGCAAGCCCCTTTCACAGCAGAGCTCCTGACCCTACATCTTCTAGCAGTAACACAGCCCATCTACACACAGCTTCTTATTTCACAACATCCAAAGTCCACCAACCGTCATTACTTTGCTAAAGCAGGGACATCCCAGGACAAATGGCATTTTACTTACTCTCCTCCTCCAAATCCTGACCGTTCATCCTACGTTCACACTCCTTTGGGTATTTCTTCTGGATCTTCTCCCAGAGCTCCCAATTGATAAGAGTATTTCTGCGGGCGTTGTAGCGTGCCCAAGAAGAGACTCGACGCCGACAGAAAGGGCAACAAAGACTGGCCTTCTCAACTGTCAGCTGGAAACAAGCGTTGCAGAGGGTGTGGTTGCAGGGCAGGGTCACAGGCTCCACAAAGATCTCCATGCAAATTTGGCAGAGGCAGTCGGACAAGGAAAGCGGAGCCTCCGATTTCTTCGCCATACTGGCTGGAAGTAGAGGAAAAAGGCTAGTACAACATCAGTACCTGAAAGCAAAAAGAAACATTTACTGCACTTTCTGGAATGAATATAAGAGAAAACAGGAAATTCTGGTTTATACCTATTTTATTATAACACCAGTGGATTTAAGACGTCTGCTTAAGTGGTTAGTTTTGCTCACGACCCAAGAGATCCTCCGTTTTCACAGGTCTTTCCAGAAGTCCTGGAGAAACTGTAGCAGATTTTCCTACCACACTTTTCTGTGAGTTGTAGCAAGTGCTTTGAGGATAAGCAAGGAGGTGGTAAGCACAGGGAAGAAAAAAGGTGAGAGTTCTTCCATCATTTACTCTCTGTTAGTGTAAACTATGCTCATCTTGGGTGGCTACACTATCCCAGTTACCTCAACCTTCCATTCAGTCACTTTTTCAGTATATGTGCATCCTTCAAGAGCTGCTTCTGGTACAGACTGGGTTCCAGCATGTTTTGCAGGTGAAATATGACTTCCCTATACATCAGAGGAGAGAATGTCCTTCCTGGTATATTCATTTGCTTAAGCTAGGAATAACAAGTCAAAATAGTTCTTGTTAGTTTAAGCAAAGGACTAACCATTGGATTCAACACCTCAGCATCTTCTCGTACAACTTAAAACAGTGGGGATCATCCAGCCTTTCTGTCTCACAGGATTTCTCCACTAGGCCCAGAAATACTGTGGAACAGGAAGTAAAAAGACACACAGAGCAAAAAGGATAAAACGACTTATTTTTAAGTTACAGGGACTTAAGAAAGCTATTGCAGGTTTCTTAAAAACAGCCCGCCTCACAAAGACAGGAGGTCCTTCTGAGAGAAAGGCTGCAATTCCAGTCACACAGGAACTCAACATGGACACGAATATGCTTTAAGTTGGGGTTTATTGTTTATACTCTTTGTTAATAAAACAAATATTTCATATTTTTTTTAAAAAAGGTCGTAGGTAACATAGAAACACCCAATTTTACAGGCGGTTTGTCCAAAAGACCTAGTTAGCCCACATATACCTGTTCTGTGGCGATTCCAGTCAGTACGCAGGCAGAAGAAGGAGCTCGGCAAGCCTGCAGGACG